CTTGAGTTCGACAGCTAAAAAAAATTCTATCCTGCTCGATAAGGCCAATGCTCGACTCGGTTCGGCTTATTTGCAGCGTTACTCTCTTCTGCCTCAATTCCTCCTCCTTCGTTGGTCGACCAATGTTGGGATGGAGCTCGTGAGTGTGGCAGTGGTGTCAGACTTCCTTCCGGCTCTAGTTCTCCGCTTCACGACGAGTTCGTCGGGCTGGTCAGGTTGCCGGTCTTGGTGTGCAGCCGGAGCTAGCGCTAGCAACAGCGTCTTTCCTGGGGTCGTCCGATTTCTGGGATTGTGTTGGGCGATTCCCCTCGGATGTGTAGTCTTTTGGTATGTTTGTTAGTGTCGGGGTTGTGTTGGGGGAGGTACCGGTTGCTGGGTCTCGGGGTTGTTATCCGGTGATTCATTTGGCTGTGGTAATTCATTTGGAAGGAGGGCCAGTCATTGTTGTTTTGGGTCTAGTTAGTCATAGCTTGTTGAGTTAAGGAGTTTGGAGTTGCTAGATCTGGGGTCGGGGCTTGATTATGTTTTCTTGGGGTTATCGTCGGTTGTCGCTTCCGCTGAGGAGGTTAGGATTTGTGGTAGGTAATGAGGAGAGTTTTATTGTATTGCATATGTGTGAGTTGTTTGGTTTTTTTACTGTTTTTCTTTTGTATGTTGATTTTGTTTTAGTCCAATTGCGTCTGACTCTAGTCTACGTTATGGAGTTTGTTGTCTCCATTTTGGAGTTGTTGTGTCTCTGTTTTGAAATTTTTGTATTTTGCGTGTGATTGTACCTACTTGGTTGATTGTTTAATTTCAAAGCCTTTGTTCTGGTTCTTCTGATGTCTCAATTGTACTCATTTTTTTATTTTTCAATTATTAATATATTTATGGTTTCTCAGAAAAATAAAAATAAAAATAGAGGATTGTGTTTGTGCATGGGAAGATGTAAAACTAAAACAGTAGGCCGCGATATTTCAAACTTGGGTCTCCTTAGTCCTCGTCCTCCTAGCCAATTCTTAGGTCTGATTTTGTCTTCATCCCATTCTCTTCACGTGGAGTCACTCCCACTTTTCGCTCCCTCGAGACCCCACCCCACCCCACCCCACCCATGTTGACCCTAAATAATAATTCGAGTCGTGCTTAATTTTATTTGTCTATATTGAATATCTTAATTCAAATTTTAAAAATGGTATGTGAGCTCTGGAGTCTGGACTGTTTGGCTGTCAATTAAATTGTGCTGAAACGAAATTTACAGATGGAAATTGATATATTTGAGTAGCTTTACACTTTAGCAAAATTTAGACAAATTAAATTGGAACTGTGGCAATATTATTATCAGCATGATAAGATTGTCAAAAATGTGATTTTCCCAATAATAAAAGGAGATTTGAGTACGAACATTTCAAAACACCATCATCATTCTTAATTTTTCGCGATCAATGATTTTAGAATTAAAATAATCTAATCGTTAAATTTTTACACCAATATCCTAAAATTACATAAATAATGAACTCACCTATTTATTAAAAGAAAGATAATATTCACAAACTCAACAAATTTTCCAATCCTTGCTTTTGTGTTCAAGGCGGGTCCCACCCTCACGAACCTAAAAAGTTGGCCACCCAAACTGGATCGAGATTTTAGATCTTTCTTCACCATTGATGATTAATTTTCCCATTTGAGCTCCACCACCATGCCGCCGCCGCCACCGCCGTCAAACACCAGCGCCGCCGCCCTAGTTCTCCTTCTCACAACACTCCTCCTCCCTTTCCTGACCGCCCCAGCAACCCCCCAGACCTGCCTGCTTCCGCCGGAAACCCTTTGCCCGCCGTTCACCTCGCCACCGCCGTACCCATTCTCCTTCTCCGCCGGCTGCGGCCACCCCTCCTTCCAGCTCCACTGCCCGTCCCTCGCCCTCTCCGCCGCCATCTCGATCAACAATCTCACCTTCTCTCTTCTCCGCTACGACTCCAACTCCACCTCCGTCACCCTCTCTCCCACCCCAACCCGACCCTCACACCGCCGCCGCGGCTGCACTCCGACGGCGGCGACCTTGGCCGACCTCAACGGATCCATATCCTTTTCCGGGTCCCCCTTCCGGGTCTCGGATTCCTCCTGCGCCCGACTCTCGGCCCTCAAGCCCTGTCCGCCGCCCAATCTGCCCAACTGCAGCCGCTGTCCTCTGGACTGCAAGCTCATAAAAAACCCAATCCACCTCATCCCCGACTGCGGCGCGTCCTCCACGCGCCACCGCGACGACTTCCAGCAACAGTGCCGTGACGACGTCCTCGACTATCTCGACATCATCGTCCTTAACAAAGGAATCGAGGTCGAGTGGGACCAAGATCAAGACCCTTACTTCTCCAGCTGCAGAGCCTGCCAAGCCAGAAACGGGTCCTGCGGGTTCAACCCGTCGGAACCCGACAAACCATTTCTCTGCTTGCCGGTCCAAGCCCGAATCCGACAGAAAAACCCGAACCGGACCGCCATCCTCATCATAACCTCCTTATTCCTCTCCCTCCTAATCGCCCTCTCCATCGTCTTGGTATTCCTCCACTCCAGAAAAAGAACCCTTCCAGATCCCGCCGGCGGCGAGGACCCCACCGCCGTCTTCCTCCGCCGCCACCGGTCGGCCAGCCTCCTCCCTCCCCTGTTCGCCTACGACGACCTCGACTCCTCCACCAACCACTTCGACCCCAAGCGCAAGATCGGGGACGGCGGCTTCGGTTCCGTCTACCTCGGCCAGCTACCGGACGGTAGCCTGGTCGCCGTCAAACACCTCCACAAACAAAACTCCAAAAAAAACGGATTCTCCACAAAATCATTCTGCAACGAGATCCTAATCCTCTCCTCCATCGACCATCCAAATCTCGTGAGGCTCCACGGATACTGCAGCGACCCTCGGGGCTTGCTCCTGGTGTACGACTATGTCCCCAACGGAACTCTAGCCGACCACCTCCACGGAGAGAAGAAAAAGAGCCCTTACAGAAAAGGAGCCCTCAGCTGGCGCACACGTGTCGACATCGCGTGGCAGACAGCCACGGCAGTCGAATACCTCCATTTTTCAGTAATCCCGCCCGTGGTCCACCGGGACATCACCTCGTCAAACATTTTCGTTGACCAGGACATGAGGGTGAAGGTGGGGGACTTCGGGCTGTCCAGGCTGTTAGTGGGCCCGGAAGCTACGGCGGCGGGCCAGAGCCCGTCGGAGGGCGTGTGGACGGGCCCACAGGGGACGCCGGGCTATTTGGACCCGGATTACTACGCGTCGTTTAGATTGAATGAGAAGAGTGATATTTATAGTTTTGGGGTGGTGTTGCTGGAGCTGATGACGGGGATGCGGGCCGTGGGCCCGGCCCGGGGGATGTCTGGGGGTGGGGTGGTGACGCTGGTGGAGATGGTGGTGCCCAGGATTCAGATGGGGTTGCTGCATGAGGTGATGGACCCCACTTTGGCGGTTGGTGGGGAAGGGGTTGGGGCGGTGGCTGAGCTGGCTTTCCGGTGTCTGGCGGCGGATAAGGATGATAGACCTGATGCGCGAGAGGTGGCGGCCGAGCTGAGGAGGATAAGGGCTGGGGTTTGATGATTTTTTGGTTTTGGTTAGGTTTATTGAGGAGAAAACAATGTTTGAGAAGGAATTGCATTTGCAGCTGTTTCCCTCGTTGACGTTAAAATGGGTTAGCTTTTATCTTTTTGTATCTATGAATTCAACAACAGATGTACGAATCCTAGTGATTACATTGTAGAATTCCTAATACCAAAGGTATGCTTTTGCAACCCTTCGAAGCTATGATTTGGATTGAGCTACTAACTAGCAGTGTTTGGAAGGCATGAATAGGCGACGCCAGGCATGCCTAGGATTAGACTTCATCTCGGCCCTGGAGATTGTCACTCGCACGGTACGCATGTCACCATTTTTTTGGGGCCATATATCATTGGGTGGATTTTAGATATTTATATATGGTGTAAATGACCTCTTCGATCCGTCCTTGAACCTGTGAAATGACGTGCAAAATAGTGTTGGAGGTTGTTTGGTGTAGAAGCACCAACGCTCAAGGTTGTAATCGGGGATGAAGATGTGTATTAAGTATATGAGTCTTGAATATTTGGAGTGTGTAGAGTGTGCAAAGATGATGATTATACGTCACCCCGTTATATAGAGATATTATCTTGTTGTTCAAGGTCTACCCGAGAGTGTCTGAACTACTAGGTCATATCGTCCGGGTGGCTGAACTGCCTAATTATGTTGTTCATCTTGTAGTGTTTGTGGTGTTCAAATGTTGAGGAAGTCTTAACTCATTTTGGAGTTGCGTATATGTGTGGGCTTTTGCATGAGAAATGGATGTTAAAGGGTTGTATTTATTTGGGATTTTTAATGACTTTTTAAGATTTTAGAAATCTTAGTATATTTAATTTAGATTTTTTAAGATTTTTTAAAATTTTGGGGTATCTATTTGATATTTTAAAAAATCTTACAAAATCTTAGGCTCCGTTTGTTTTGAGGGATTTATTGAGGGATTTGAAATACGTAGATTTCAAATTTACATATTCAAATGTTCATGCATGTTGGGATGATAATGGAAGTTGGAGGATTTCAAATTCATGCTACATGTTTTTTATTCATTATTTTGAAGGATTTGAAATGACTCATAAAACCTAATAATTTGAAATACACTGTTTATCACCATTGACGACCACGCCATCCGCGATCATTTTGATTCATCGCCACCGCGAGTCAACACTATCGGTGTGAGCTAAACAATTTATTTATAATATTTTCAACACATCCATTCAAAGAGTGCAAGTAAAAAAATTTATATTTCAAAAATTTTGAAATCAAGGATTTCAAATCTCTCAAAACAAACGGCACCTTAAAATATTTAACATATTTAAAACTTAGACTTTTAAAATTTGTTGGATTTTTTTTTTTTAAAAAAAAAACTTTATACGAAATATCATACCAAATTCCACCTACATACTTCAGATTTCATAGGTTGAAGATTGAAGAGAATCACTTGGGCCAAAATTGTTCAATTTAACTGGAAACATTTCACTTTGGTGTAGAAATTACATGAAAAAACGACTTCAATTGACAAGGAGATGTAAATACACTGCATAAACAAGTGCTTTATTCAAACAAGCTCATAGGATTTATTACAATGGTTCAACATCATTGGGTCCAACCGAATGGAGCCTAAATGTGTCGAAGTTATTACATAAACATGCATTTCCTTGTCAAAGCCAACTCCGGAAAAAGACCGGCAATCGAGTGGGATTACGTGGAGAGCAAGATGGCTCTTACTTTAACCTCTATAGGAGCTCAATACAGACATATTTGCAAGTTTTACTTAATTAAAAGTATGCAGCTTCCAACTCCCCAGCTTTCTGACCACAACTTGCAGCTTCTTCCTTTCCTAGAGCTGTATAGGCTTTCTCCTGTAATATCAATTTAGAAAACTATTCAGAAATAAATTAATTTTCTCCTAATGAGGGAGTAATTTTCTTTGAGCATATATAAAGAAATTGAAGTAAATTTTATGGAAGCCTCTAGTATAGATCGATTAAGTGGAGGCATACCAAGAGACGCCATAAAAACGGTGCACCCTCTCGTTTTTTTAACTGTTTCTTAATAGCTTGTATAGCTGCAGGGGACAAGCTATTGTTAGTGAACCAAACAAAACTATACACAACGAAAGGACAAAACGCCATTTATAAGTACCTTTGACTGCCTCTCCAGTATTTAGCAGCAAAATTATATGTAGTTCGGTGAACACATCAAGCTGTTCGTCAGATGCCCCGATTACCTAGCACAAACAGAGCACAAAGTACTGTTTCTTTATATTTATTATTCTACTTTAGAACAAAACTAAGTTAAGACAAAACTCAGTAAGTGATTCTTTT